CCCCGGGAAAAAAACGTGTAAAAACACGTTAATTTTACCTTTTTGGGGAGATGCCCCCCCCCCTCCCCCTGTCGCTCAAGAGGGGTGCACATTTTCAAATTTTAGAGGGCCCCCAACAAAATGTGGTCACCTTTATACATCATGCATGCCCAAGTAGGAGTCGTCGGGCTGAGTTGTCCCTACATATGAGTTAGCCCGAATTATTATTTCCATTTACAGAGCCACCCCCTCCCCTCCAGCCCCCGATTATTATTATTTTTATTATTATCATAATCGTTAGTAGGGGTCTAGTAGTACTTGTCCGAGGGGCGGCGATCCGGGGGGCTGGGGGCGCACGTTCCCCCTCAATTTTCTTTTAGAGGGGGGGGGGGGTCGTTCCCGCCTGAAATTTTGAAAAAGTGCACACATGAAATGTATAGCAAATACTGACTAAAGACTGCAACACACTTTTAGGCTCTGGAGGGCCCAAGAATGCAACGCTTAGACTCAATATTTGCTACTATAGCAAATAAGTCTAAACGCTGAATTCTGAGTCTAAACGCTGCATTCTTGGGCCCTCCAGAGCTTCTTGTGTGCACTTTTTCAAAATTGCCGGCGGGAGCGACCCCCCCCCCCCCGCCTCTAAAAGAAAATTGAGAGGGAGCGCCCCCCCCCCCCGACCACCGCCCCTTTGGACTCCTACTACTATTAAAATACTACTACTAGACCCCTTCTAATGGTTATAATAATAATAACAATAATAATAATAATCGGGAATCCCTGGAATTTGCGTGATTTTCACATTTCAAGGCGTCTTATTCATAATTATTATTGTTGGGAAATCTTTGATCAGCCCCCGTCTGGTGCTTTTCCAATTCCCATAGTACCTCCACTATTATAGGATTATATACAGCCCATTGACCTAAGAGATGTAACTCATGAGGTTCCGTGCTGGGGACCCGGAGGGGCCGGGGGGGGGGGGGGGGACTCAGATTTGGTACTGACGGGGATGTACCGCTGAAGCCGCAAAACCCAACCCGACTCTTTGAACTCTCTCTCTCTCTCTCTTTGGCTCTTTAACTCTGAAAATATTAATTATAAACCCACACTGAAGCAGAGATGAATACAAATTCACAAAAAGGTCAACCAGGGGCGCGTTGCGGTGGCAGCGATCACATGGACTCGGGGAAACATGAAGAAGTTTGGCGGATCCAGGGGCCGGACATTGACCAGCCCGCCGTGCCCCCCCCCCCCCCCGGCCCCCCTGCCTCGACGAAAAATGCTCATAGAAAATGTGTCAATCTTTCTTGGGCCGCCATTCGTGCCCCCATCCTTTGCTGCATGAATTAAAAAAATTCCTAAAATCATGATAGCCTTGGTACAACAAAATGAAATGTGTATTAAGGCCTACGACGGGGGCGGGCGGGGGCCGCTGACGTAGCCAAACCCCAAACCCCATACCTATTATTATACGGCCATTTTTGCGTTTTTTATAATTATTTGTTTAAAATGTGTAGTATTTTAGCGTCAAAATGGGCGAAAATTGCATATCCTGTATGAACAGTAAACTTGAAAACTATATTGGCCTATACCCATCAGAATTTGCAAGGAATCTCAGGCAAAGTTGTGTGTCTCGGTATACGTTCTATGACATGCTCGTCAACTTCAAGGGGACTTGTGACCCATAACAATTATGGGCTTATATAGATTTTGAATGAAACCAAATGGGTGTTTAATTTTTTTTTTTACTATATAAATTATGAATGATATAGGCCTACTATAAATTACCAACAATCATGTGAAGTTCATAATATCGAATGCATTCTATAGGAGGAGTATATAGGCCTATCTTCGGTTAGGTGCCATGTCTTTACATGTTCGTACATAATTGCAGTTGGTTTATACTTTAGGCATGGTTTTCCGAACGATTTAGTTGCACTTCTTATGGGGCATCGATCATAATTATCATGCTTTGGTTTGTAACTAAAGAAAGTTTCTCATGCCGATGAACTCCACAAAACATCGATTAGGATTTTGAACAAGAAAGAAATTACATATCCAGACCGTATGCTGTCCAATGGCCCATTCTGAACTCTGCCAAGTTTACAATTTTTAAACACGGATATTCAGCGAAAGTCAGAAAAGTCAAGTTTTCAAGCACATAAAATTAATATCGTTTGTTTTCATCTTTATATCGTTTGTTTTCATCTTTCCCTCCGATTCATGCTCTTAATAGTCAAAGTGAAATACATGTATTTGCATTTTTAAAGATAATATTGCTCATATATTTTTTGCGGCCGGGCACACAGCTGGTTCCCTGATAATATTAAACATTATAATTTATATAGGCCTATTTAGCCCAATGCAGCCCCATCCTGTGTCTTGTCTTCTAATTTTAGCAAAAATGCACGTTTTCTTTCTGAAAGGTGAATTTTTGCAAATTAAGTAATCACCCTGTTATATTGTTAAAAGGTCTGCATTTTACGAATATGATACACCCATTTACCTCCATGTACAGATACACCAGAGAGATGATACACCCAAATTCTCCCAAGACCGTCGTTAGCCGGTCGCACGGGGATTATTAGTTCTATCTATTCACCATCTCAAACCTAGTCTGTAAACACAGACTTAACTTTACTCTTGAATAAAACCACATGAAATAATCAGGAGAATCATATTCTGCTTGATGTGTTATGTTTCTTTTCCAGTATTGCACTGTGTCAGAAGCAGCTACAGGACATAACTCGGTACTTTCATGTTTGAAATTTAGACATTGTTTTTACTCATAATGGCTGTCAAGGGTCTGTGTCTGCAGACTAGCTATAACCAAAGAGAGTACAAAGAGAACAATAGCCGAGCGCGGGCAATGCGTCCGTTGTTTGCAAACAGCTAGAGCTCTGTCTAATAGTATACAAAGTGTGGGCACGAACAACATATTATGGTACACGCGCGGCCAGCACCAGATTTAAGATCACTCTTCGATTCGACATCGTCACTCGCGGTTACGTTGTCCATAATCTGTTAATTTTTCCTTTTATAACGTACGCGTTTTGAATTTTCTTCGAAATGGCTACGACGACGAAGAAGAAGACGAGTTCACCGTACGTGGTCGCCTTCGTTTTTCGGTAGCTTCATTTACACAGTTTAATGAGGTTAAATTTATCTTCATTTAACAGCTAAATGAGGATAAATTTATCTTCGTTAAACTGTTAAATGAAGATAAATTAATCCTCATTTAGCTGTTAAATTAAGATAAATTTATCTTCGTTTAGCTGTTAAATGAAGATAAATTAATCCTCATTTAGCTGTTAAATGAAGATAAATTTATCTTCGTTTAGCTGTTAAATGAAGATAAATTTATCCTCATTTAGCTGTTAAATGAAGATAAATTTATCTTCGTTTAGCTGTTAAATGAAGATAAATTTATCTTCGTTTAGCTGTTAAATGAGGATAAATTTATCTTCGTTTAGCTGTTAAATGAAGATAAATTTATCCTCATTTAGCTGTTAAACGAAGATAAATTTATCTTCGTTTAGCTGTTAAATGAAGATAAATTTATCCTCATTTAGCTGTTAAATGAAGATAAATTTATCTTTGTTTAGCTGTTAAATGAAGATAAATTTATCTTCGTTTAGCTGTTAAATGAGGATAAATTTATCTTCGTTTAGCTGTTAAATGAAGATAAATTTATCTTCGTTTAGCTGTTAAATGAGGATAAATTTATCTTCGTTTAGCTGTTAAATGAGGATAAATTTATCTTCGTTTAGCTGTTAAATGAAGATAAATTTATCTTCGTTTAGCTGTTAAATGAGGATAAATTTATCTTCATTTAACAGCTAAATGAAGATAAATTTATCCTCATTTAGCTGTTAAATGAAGATAAATTTATCCTCATTTAGCTGTTAAATGAAGATAAATTTATCCTCATTTAGCTGTTAAATGAAGATGAATTTATCCTCATTTAGCTGTTAAATGAAGATAAATTTATCTTCATTTAGCTGTTAAATGAAGATAAATTTATCCTCATTTAGCTGTTAAATGAAGATAAATTTATCTTCATTTAGCTGTTAAATGAAGATAAATTTATCCTCATTTAGCTGTTAAATGAAGATAAATTTATCCTCATTTAGCTGTTAAATGAAGATAAATTTATCCTCATTTAGCTGTTAAACGAAGATAAATTTATCCTCATTTAGTTGTTAAATGAAGATAAATTTATCTTCGTTAACACAGTTCAATGAGGATAAGTTAGAAATCTGGGTGGTAGTGTGTGGAGATGTGAAAGAAAAATCAAGGAATCAGTTTGATGACATTTTGACGAAAAGTGAACAAAAATTCGTTCATTTTGAAAAGATATACTGTTTAAAGCAAAACTCTCATTTGCACATGGAAATTCGAATTGAGGAAAGCGAAAATAATTTTAACTTTTCAAGTAGCACGGTAACTATATACAAATACTCTTATTTTGCCCGTTTAAAATATTTAAAGATTAAAATCTGAAAAATAATAAAAACCAAGCTTTGTTAAATCACCTGGTCAGATTTCACATGTATTGACATTGTAGTCATCGTCATGCTAGGCCTTTTGGAAATCTAACGAATATTTTAGGAAATGGTATTCAAATAAATATTTCGTTCACCTAAATTTAACTATAAATGACTGTGAAAGTGGTTAATTCTATTATCCGGTTTTATTTGTGGAATATGTTTCCTATTTTTAGATTCTTTGATTAATCTTCATGAAAAGAAAAGTGTATCATACTGTGAACGAAGCAAAACACGGAATAATAACGACGAGATGCACTGTTTCTCATCACACATGTAATTTATTGTATTATATCGAATAGTAATATAAAGGATTAAAACATTGTGTATGTTATTTACACCGTTTTAAAATGTGGAAAGTTATTCTCGGAGATTTGAGTATTCATTTTCTGATGATTTGAATTATTTCTTACATTCACTCTCTTGTTCTCTCCCCCCCCCCCTCCCCCCCCCCCTCTCTCTCTCTCTCTCTCCATTTCTCCCACGCTTATACATCTATCTCTGTTTCTCTGTTTTTATGTACCAAAGTAATCATCGGCTGGTAGCAAATTTGTTATAGTTTGACTAAGGCAGCCGTTATCCAGAATAACTAGGTAGGAAAACCTTTCTTCAAGTCCACTTGTAAATCTCTTCTCCTCGGCTTAAAAGCCAGATTCGATGAATCTACCGACTTCCTCCTCGATGATAAACCACTGACGTCGTGTGTTGACGTGCCTGACGTCGACAAAGACGACGACGATGTCGACTTTGAGAGGACGTCCGAAACGGCCTGCTTCTTGTAGTAGGACCAGTCGGTATGGAGTTGTAGATGCTCCTGCAGGGTTTGGCCCAGAGGGTAAGGGCGGACGATCTCTTTGAGGTGACGGTAGACGAACTCGCTGGCTTGCTCCAGGTAGAACATCTTGTTCAGCATGATGCACTCTGCTCCACGGCTCACCTAAAAAATAGTGGGAAACTTTCAATGAATCATCTCAAGAGCAATTTCAATACCCTGTCCTACGTTTTCTGATGGAAATCATGTTCGGATTACGTAATAATGAAAATAGTTATATTTCTATAGCGCCCTCTATCTAAAAATCCTAATCCAAGGCGCACTATTTAATTATTACCCCGGCTTTAGCCTAGCTGCCATTACAGCGCTCCAGCATTTCAAGGAATTAATTCCTGCCAGGTACCCATTTACCTCACCTGGGTCGAGTGTGGCAAATGTAGATCAATGCCTTGCCAAAGGACATTAGTGCCGTGTCGGGGATCGAACCACGACCTTCGAATGTTAAGACAAGTGCTTAAACCACTTGACTACGACACTTCTACGTAATATATCATGATTGTCAAATGCGATTGATTTATCGAAAGACGTTGCGATCGTGTTATTAAAACATGTGAACATGATAAACATCATTTCTCGTATTAATCACAAACGGGTTCTTCATTTTTGCACTGATGGAATATCAGATTTAAACTTTGGCAATACGAAAGAGCTACTTTCTACGAATCAAACTTCCATACAACGTCAAGGATCCTCCCCTGACTAGTCTCTTTGAGATGATGGCGTTAAACCCTAATAGGTACACGATGGTTCATTATTTTGCTTGACGTAGGATTGCGTGGAATAAATCAATGTGTGATCTTTGCCGCACTGTACGAGAGTGGTATCACAACCACACTCACACAAGAAATGAAGACAGAATGAGCAGTGCATGCCAGCATCCTTTTGAATAATTGGCGTAATTGCCTTCACAGCTTCGATTAGGCCTCGCTCCGATACAACGCAACAAAATGACGATGACTTAAAGTGGAATACAGGTATTTTATCTGCATATTATAGCACAGAGCTCAGTGAATACGCGCGGGACCTTTGTTGCGCGCAGTTGCCATTTATTACCGCCTTAAAAAAAAAAAACCGGCGTTTTTGCGGCGGTTTACCGCGTCATATCTGAAAGGGCCATTATGACGCAATCGTAATGACGCCTTGTGTGCAAAGTTCTTCATGGTTGGTCCCCAGACGGAAAATAATTATACCTGATTGCATCAGGTCCGTACTCACCAGACTCAAACTCGGCTGATCTACATCACTGATACCGTTTTCCCGACATAGCATCGGCAAACCCTGATACAATATTTTGAATGAGGAAAATAATATATGAAGAGGTCATAATGGAGAATACAGGGTATGAAAAAACGATGAAAAGTTTATCATAATATAGCTGACGGCAATGAACGTATGGCGGGTAAAACTTAATCGGTTATGACTGTGATAAACATTACTCACTTCGTAATCATGTCAAATCCCACCGAAAGTCAATTGCAATTGAATAAAGAAATACATATGTCCCGATCGTGCAGTCACTTTGTTTACCCCCCCCCCCCCCTCCCCATTCTCAAGTAAAGAAGTAGCCCTTATGGACGATATAAAAACTTCTTTAATAATAATAATAAAAACGTTACTTATAAAGCGCTTACAACCGAAATCTCTAAGCGCTATGACCCAATGTTAATCTATTTCACATTGATTATACATTCAGCATGTAACATATTGATGTCTTACATTTTCTATCCATGTACTGTATTGATAAAAGGTGCAATGTCATATTATTGAATGAATATGTGTTTTCTAAAATATGATATAGAAAGCACTTAATAATATTTTAAAAAAATAAACAATCAAATAATGAATACAAAACTTTACAGATTTTTTTTAGAGAGATTTTTAATCTCCAGTAATATCGTAGGCTTTCCTTATCAGCGAAAATACTTACAAACACATCTTTGGAATGTAGCATCCCAACTTGGACGAAAACTACTCTGTCACTCTCTTGGACCTAAAAGAGTGAAAACACAGAAGAGCAAGTTTAAAGAGAAGGTTGAGTTCTGGGAAAGATGGCACATTATATCGATGAGGAAGAGTAATATATAACAAATGTCTACTGAAAACAATAGCTCGTCAAATACCCTCATATTCGAAATAGGCCTATGACAAGTAACAGCTAAAGGGCTGTGATCCAAAGCCTTATGCCACATATTTATGTAGTCCCATATACACCTCTTTGTGTACAGTGCCTGCAACTTTTAGCAAGACTTTCCCAGCTTGTTTAATCATTTTTGTATGATCCCAAACCTCATATTATACAGTTGATACACAATATTCCAATCGCTTCCACACAGTTTCTTTCTTAAATAAATCGCAATAACTAGAACTAAACTTTGTCTTTAAGACAGAAAGATAAGGACACTAGTCTTAAGGTAGCTTCTCCCTAAATTAACAGCGTGGTAAACGATTGTTCGTCTGGCTTGCAAGTAAATTTGGTCACCCCCCCCCCCATTATTATTGGTGTAGCCAGATGCAATCATGTACATTTTAAGTTTAATTTGAATATTTGAGGTCTCATAATAATATTAAAACTTGAAAGAAAATAAAATCAATTTATAGGATAATTAATAGGATTAGGAGGATGTCTTGTTACTTTTGATGCTTTGTTCGACGGTGATTCGGTGAAGCCAGACGTTAGTCTTAATAACAGAATATATCCCCAAACAAAACATAGCGATTATACTATCTAGTCAATACTGACCTCTTCTCTAGGACTGGTTTTCTTTCTTTGTCTCGGCGATGATGCGGTATCAGAGAGCGAGATGGACGATGTCTCTGACGTCAGAGATGAATTCCATCGACGACTATCAACCTTTGAACCTGTGCGTGGCAGATAATAATTATGACGAGATCAGTGCATAAACTTTCGAAAATGTTTATTCTGGGAACAAGATCAAGACAAATTTTACGTAATTGTAAAAATTAATATTGATATTTGATATAATAAATAGAATGAAAATCAGGATAACCACAGTTTTTTAAAAAGAGACACAAATATTGATAATGAAGATAATGATAACACTAATAAGAAGAAGAGAAGAAGGAGAAGAAGAAGAAGAAGAGAAGAAGAAGAAGAAGAAAAAGAAGAAGAAGAAGAAGAAGAAGAAGAAGAGAGAAGAAGAAGAAGAAGAAGAAGAAGGAGGATGATAATGATAATATACTTTCTCAATAAAACCACTAAAAATATTTGTGAACAATGTCCCACTGGCACATTTATCTTCTACCGCCCTCTAGCAGCGGCCAAAGGACACTTTATTCATGCTCTTGCCGCATGTTATTATGATCATTTCTGTAGATTTCCCCTGATAGTTTATTCTATAAACAAATGGGGCTTCGCTTTCGAGAATTAGGCATCCGCCAGCAAACCTCTATTTTGGGGCAATTTTCAGAATTACAAAGATTTATATTTACGGACTTCCCATTTTGAGTGCTAGGAAATTAACATCCCGTTGATATTATCGTTCGACAATATTTGCGATTTCTTCCTTTTTACCCTGTTCGAAATTTAAAACTACACCAAGACCAAATTTTCACCAAATAAAACGATAATGAAAACAAAAATGTTCAGACTTCAACTTATCTGACAGACTTTTGAAAGTTTCAACTAACCGCATTCTGAGTTATTTTAAAATCGATGTAGATTTTATTCTTGCCAAGAAATAATGGGTTTGATGATGATTTATAGTAGTCAGTTCAAGTCAAAAGACGACTTTCCACCATGAGGTCTCACCTATATGTAACCCATCTCTTGGGCTAAAAGCTGGCTTCTCGGCCGACAGAGTAGTGTTGCACGGGCTGAGCCGTCTGGCTACTGGCAGTGATTGGGTATCCTTCAATTGCTTGATTACTTGGCAAGAACCCTGGTGGAAAAGATTCAAACAAATATTGGCTGATTATTTCATGCTTTATCTCTCTAAAAGAATGTAGCTCACTCCATACTTTTGGTGGAATTATAACTTGTATAAGGGGCTAAATATTCACAGCCCTACCGATATTATCGGGTTAATTTTCAAGCGCGCATTTTTTTATTTTGACGGTCGATTTCATCAAAGTTGGCAAGCACATCAAACAATCTTCGATACGATGTGCTGTTAGTCATGGGCAATCGTGATTTTTCCGACATCAACATGGCCGACAATAAAAACAACATGTTTCCTGGCCAACCAAATGGGCTCATGCGCATGCGCCGGCATCGCTACTGACACGAACAAAATGGGGTCATGCCTAGCATTAATTTTGGCCGTCAAACATACACGTTTTATACGTTATCTTTCATGTATGTTCCCTTTTCAACAATGTGAACATAATCATGTGGAAGACCAGTTGTATTCATATGAGATTCGTACATTCATGTATTCTATTATTTTTGCGTAATAATTGTTTGCAAGCTAAAAAGGCTGCTTTATGTAAATATGTGATTTGAATGAATAAATTAATAAATAATTAAATCCCTAAAAATTTCGAGAAATTCACTAATTTAGTGAATTTAAAATTTAAAAGGCCATTTTCAATACCCTATTGTATAGCCCATGAAGCATGTTCGGATAGGCATACACAATCTGTTATTTTGACTGGTAGAAAAGTTCAGCACAATAAAGGCATTTAGTATTGCCCTAGGTTGATTGATTGAAAGCTTTTGCGATCGTGCTCAAGGTGTTTGAAAGAAGCTGTGAGCATGATGAGAGAAAGACCTTCAATATAATGTGTTTGAAAAAAGCTGTGAGTATGATGAGAGAAAGGCCTTAAACATAATGTGTTTGAAAGTAGCTCTGAGCATGATGAGAGAAAGACCTTCAATATAAGGTGTTTGAAAGAAGCTGTGAGCATGATGAGAGAAAGGCCTTAAATATAAGGTGTTTGAAAGAAGCTGTGAGCATGATGAGAGAAAGACCTTAAATATAATGTGTTTGAAAGAAGCTGTGAGCATGATGAGAGAAAGACCTTCAATACAGTGCGTCCCAGAAAAAAAGGAAACCGAGATTTTTCGACGTTTGATCATAACTTAATCACAATTATAATTGTGGAAAGCTGAGATCTTCCTCTTTCATTTGATGTAACTTCTATAATGCATATTTCACGCATGAGTGATTAAGATGAATTTGAAGAGAGGAAACCAAAAATTCATTTGGCGGACGGTATCTGAATTTCAAAGAGAAAATCACATTTCCAGAAGGTTGAGTTTCTACCCTTTCATATGACACCTCAATCACGAAAAAAGAGCTAGGAATAACAAAGTTCTGTATGTTTAAAATAGTGCTTGCATATCCATAATTTTATCAAACGAATTCATTTTCACTGGCTGCCTGCCTGAGTAGCACACGGAATTAAGAAAAGAAAAGACTTAACTTCGTTTGGGTGACAATCGGCCGTAGACGAAAGACTTCATGCATGGCTGATTGTCAACGAAACGGAGTTAAGTCTTTTGACAATTCTGTTTTTTGCTACGGCAGGCAGCCAGTGAAAACGAATTCGTTTGATACAATTATGGAAACACAAGCCCTACTTTAAACATACAGAACTGTGTCATTCCTTGCTCATTTTTCGTGATTGAGGTGTCATATTATGACAGGGCAGAAACTCAACTTTCTAGAAATGTGATTTTTCTCTTTGAAATTCAGATATCGTCCGCCAAATGACTTTTTGGTTTCCTCTCTTCAAATTCATTTAAATCACTAATGCGTGAAACATGCATCAGGTGAGTTGCATCAAATGAAAGATGAGGATCTAAGCTTTCCAAATATGTGTCATTTATTAATAGGTAATAGATAATATATAAACATATATATACATAATATATATTACATCTTATATATTATACTCAGAGAAAATATTTACCGATTTTATAATATAGAGCCATTCAGATCGATTACTGTTCTTCACTATCACAGAGCTGCGCCTGATGAAAGAAAACAACAACAACTTATAATAATTAAGATAATAACAACAATAATGATGATAATAGTGAGTGATGAGTGATGATGATGATGATGATGACAATGATAATAATAATAGTAATAACGATTTACATTTACAATTACATTTAAAAACCATATGCGAATGAAGGCAAGTGATGCCGACGTTTCAACTGACCCTATGTTTCAATGAAATAGTTTTAAAACACGTAAATTAGATCACAGCTCAAACATCTTATACACTTGTGGGGACTGTGATCATGATCTCCGTCTGAATATCGTCTGCTCAGTGCCAGAACGTAAAGATAGATGTTGCTTTCACTCCTGCAGGAAATTCTCAAAACAGGTGTAACTTTTTGTTATCATTATCATTGTATTCTTGCTTAATATTTCCTATCGGAAAATATGAGAGAGGCATTACATTAACCCATGTTTAATGTATATTTTTATGGATAAAAATCACACCCTATGTTAAGGGTGGACCTCCTCCGAACGCCAACGGTACTAGGCTAAAGATACTCTTAACATTAATGTTTGCGCATCATAGAAATGAACTTACTTGAAGAAATGAATGAGACACATTTGAGGGTGTTCATTTAGCTTCTGAACAGGCCAGCCTTTCAGGAAAGGTAAAGTTCTGAAAAGGAAAGAAGAAAAGATGGAGTCAAATGGAACTGCAGGTAATTTTTGTAAACAGAATTGTACTCTTTTAAAACTGCATAGTTATTTTTATATTACGAACTTAATTTACTACAAAGTTGAACTGATTAATTATTAAACTAATCATTTAAAGTATGTCAAAACAAGACACATTTTGGAAGTCTTAAAAAAATTAACATTATTAAAGTTTATTCATGATGATGCTAGTACATACAAGCTTGCAATTACACAATCATATTAACAATTACAGGAAGGCATAGAATGAAACTGTCTATATATCAAGGGGTACCGTACCATGTATAGGATTACTTTTAAAATATGTCCCTCTTCTCTAATTGATGACTATAAACAAAATTCATATGTTTACAAACATTCGAGTATAATGGAACATTTGTACCAAGAAGGCATGAAATTTGTCGGCAAATTTTGTTTAAACATGTGTTATTCAATCGGGGAAAGGCAAACGTGCGACACTAATATGTCATGTCATGATATGTAGTTTAGAATGCGTATTCTGCTTCGGAACACTTCGGAAAATATATATGATCCGCCTATACTATAGGTCACTTCACGGAACTTTTAGGGGTGAGCGCCCCAGAGGGGAATTCGCCCCCCCCCCCCCCCGAATCCCCCGCCCCCTCTTCCTCTCTCTCTCTCTCTCTCTCTCTCTCTCTCTCTCTCTCTCTCTCTCTTTCTCTCTCTCTCTCTTTTAAGTAACCAAATTATCGATTGTGGTTTTTGTTCTTCTTCTCCCTTACCGCTTATCTCTGCTAAAAATCAGGAAGAAAAATCTGTTTTTGTGTTCCCTCCCTCCCTACGTTACCTTAGAAACTTAAGATGCTCGATCTCTCTTCCTCCTTCTCCTTCTCCCATAAACATATCCATGAAATCCTGTGACACGAGCGAAATCGAAAAAAATCAGAAAAAAGGAAATCAATTTCATCGCAATGTTATACAAAACGAACACTGACGCACTCACGCAGCCACACTCACACACGCACACATGAATTTTTAAGACGATATTTTTCAAATGTTTTCACATTTTCAAGCTTCTTTTTTCTCGTTCTCAGCAAGGAAACTTTCAATGCATCTGTAAAAGACGATGACGACTTCTAAATTTCCCCGACTCATTATCAGTTTGAAGTGTGTGAAATTCATGTAATGATAATCACAATAATAACTGATCATGTTAATTTGATACGGCCATCGGTGTGAACACCTATAGTTTTCACCATCCTGCAAGGCTTCATAATTGTCATACCCTCCTCCTCCTCCTTTCTCCCCTCCTCCTTCTTCCCCCTATTCCCCCTCCTTCTCCTCCACTCTCCTCCTCCTTCCCATCCTCCTCCTCCCCTCCCCCTTCTCATCACCTCCACTCACTTCCTCCATATCCGCATATACCCTTTTAGGACATTACTTTTAAATCCACGTGTTGTGTACATGACAGTTTTTTGAAGATTTTGAAAATGCATTTATACATCTTTGCAAGATTTTCTGACAGCTTTGATTTTCGTTGATTAATTTTATTTTATTTGATAAACAAGTTAGGAATTTGTCTAAAACGATCTACAAATTCAAACAATTATTTGTTTGATTTACTGTTTCATGTTACTGTCCAACCATCTTTGTTTCCTTTTGCAATCTAGGCCCTCTTCCATCCCTACAACAAAAAAAGGAACAGACAAACTGACCAAAAACATTTGATAGTAAAGTATACATTTTAAAGTATATAATCAATCCTATTGATATTTTTTCGAAAATAATAGAAATTATATAACTTGTTCTAACCTCTTTTTCGATGGCAATGATTTGGCAAGGCACTTCTGCAGTGATCGTGCAAGGACGAGCATCACCGTGCAACAGTTCCAACTCACCGAAACAATCACCTTTCCGAAATCTTCCGATCTCTGTCGAAATGGCATCGCTGGTGATCGGGTCGGCTTCGGTTTGCACAACCGATACTATGAGACAAATTCAAATTGATGAAGAGAGTAGAACCAAGAAATTGGAGTGGAGGTAGAAAAAGCATTAATTTTATTGGGCATTCATTTTCTGCTCTCACAGAGCTTCATCCATTTCGCTCAAGCAGTGTTTGCATAATGGCGTTTTAATTGAATTATTTTTATTCTTAGATTTTGAACCATTGTTGGAGTGGTAAATGACAAAACTAAATGTAACCGGAGAGGTGGATCCAGGATTGTCCAAAAGGAAGCGAGAGCACAACTTTAACAGATATAATCTTTCCCAGAAACTATACCAGAATACCCCCCCCCCCCCCATTAAAATAATTTGGGGGATTTGGGGAGGTGATCGTTTATCAAATCCGTCATTGCCCACGCCCCCCTCCCATTTTCTAAGTTACATCGGCCCTCGCTATAGAGGTGCGGGGTCAATTTATCTTGTAACACCTAGAATAAAGCAAGGAATTTGTATAAAACATTGGGTAGAGTAATAGTACTGAAAAATCAATACTTTTTGAGGGCAAAAAGGAGTTATCTGACTAGGCTAAACTCGATTTATATACTGACCTTCGCCCGTTACAAGGAAGTAGAAATTCTCTGCTATATGACCTTGACGAATGATGACCTTCCTTTCTGGAATACTTTAAAATGGAAGACAAAATAGGAAAATGAGACCAGTAACGGTGTTAGGGGTGGCGTAGAAAATAGAGCCCTAGAGAGACTTTAACAAAAATCATCTCAATTTCGATCCCCTTTTGTATATCCCGTAAAAATCATTTTCGGATTACGCATGTCCGCCGCACGTTCTAATATAATTATGTGACACAGAAGGCTGCTAGACCGTGGAACCTAGTGACGAGTTATTCCGTTAACCTGTTATTAATGAATGAACTACAATACATGGAATCCAGTCTACATACATTATGTTTTGTTTTACTATGTCAAGCAAGCCTCGGGAAATCTTATATTATTGTTATTATTATTAATATTTGTATAGGCATTTCTATAGCGCCTTCTAGAAATTCTATTCAGAGGCGCACCAATTATTACCCTGGCTTTAGCCTAGCTGCCATTTTAATACAGCGCTCTATAGCATTTCAAGGATTTAATTCCTGCCAGGTTCCCATTTACCTCTTTTACAAGCTTTCATGATGTCAAGACCAACCGTTGTTTAAAAAGTATGCATAAAACTTGAATATCTTCGTTGACCGATTTTTTCCTTGGGATTTTGAGTTTTCGAAAGTAAATGTGATCGTGTTGAACAAAGATGTATGATAAAAACCGTATGAGACATAAATCATTTTAAATTAAATCTGAATTTTCAAAGAAAAAGCACTACAAACCTGTAAAAATAAGCGACTCTGACTAACTTCTCTTGAATATGCAGAGGATATTCAGCAAAAGATGATATTGATTGAAGTCCCCTAAGAGCCTGTATGACAAAGTTCATTACGAGATGAATCTGTATGCACTTATGAAACATGTTTTCAGCAAATCGTTTTGTTGTGAGACGAAGAATTTTCCATATTTGGCCCACTTTCGAAAGAAGAAATTGAGATGGAGATCTAGGAATCATAATGATAAAAATCTGGAACTATAATGGCGCTAATAAGGAATAACTTCTCTTCGCGTTTTAAAGATATTATTGATGCTGCACGCAGGAAAATCTTAGCACAGGTTAATTGCTAGATTTCTTCATAATGTTGTATGTCAAGTGAACCCACGGCCTTTGTACTTCCAGTCTCAGCTGCTTAAGTGGTTATGTAATTATTAAAAAGTTAACGTTTTCATGCCCATCCCCCCAACCCCAACCCCCCCCCCCCCCCAAAAAAAAAAAAAAAAAAAAAAAAACGTGCGCTTATATACAGCTGTGAAATCTAAAGTGTAATTTTTCTAAAGCACATACTTTATAGAGACAAATTATCTGACATGTAATATGTAATAATAATAATGGGCTCTTGTATAAAGCGCTCATGTCTGTTAAAATTGACACTTCTGGCGCTCCACAATTTATTACCTCAGCTTTAGCATGGCTGCCTTTATGGCACTCTAGCATTTCAAGGAATTAATTCCTGCCAGGTACCCATTTACCTCACCTCATATGTACATTAATGTCTTGCCAAAGGACATTAGTGCACAGTCCGGTGACGAGTCCACTAGACCACGACACCTCATACATCAGTTCGAAAATAAAATGATATTGGATTACTTACGACTTTAAGCTGGTCAAATGTTCTCTCCTCTGCCTCTAAACTCAAAACGTTCTTTACTTCTTGTGTGATTCTAGTCTGAAATGAAAACGATTATAAAACTGATGGAACAGCAAGAAGAAGAAAAGTGACATCATTCCACAAAAAAGTGCTGACTCCAGTAATTCACCAGCACGAATGATCCCATATTCTATTTTAGCCGGAAGAAACCTTGTCTTATCGTGGTAGCATTATATTGGCAACTCGTTTAGTGGCGACATGAATATGCATATATTCCCTTCATCCATGGGCATCAATCAGGGAATGGACAGGGGGACACGTCCTCCTCCAAAAGGGTGGGGACACAGTAGGGTATGCCCCCCCCCCTAAAAAAAGGTGTTGTATTTCTTCAACTTCGTAAAATTGTGCCTGAGATTTTATAAATAAAGCACCAAATACGCGCTCTAAATTCGAATTTTGATCAAGGCTTTACAAGGGGCGTCGATCTTTCCGGCTGAACTTCTCTGATTGGCGAAAGCTAGTATTATTGTACATCATCAACCAATAATTATTCGCGTGGATCTCGGTGGTGAGATAAATAAGAGTTGAAATCATCAACAAAGCTGGTAAATAAAACCCTTTATTTGGAAGTCAGACTGGTTTAAGACGGAAAGAAGTTGGAGCACTTCCCGGTAGCGGCAGATCCAGCCGGTGGTGAGAGGGGGGGGGGGGGCGGCGGAAAAATCGCAATGTGGATCCGCGCCTGCTTCCCAGGAATATAAACAACAGTGGTTGAGCGGTTGATTTTGTTCCTGTCATTCCCGGTAGCTGATTAGTCATACCACAAGATTCCTTTCTCCACTTTGACAAACTTTCAAGTGTGCATCGCGTTTGCGCTACAATGTGTACATACAATTCCAAAACGTACCCTAAGCAAGTATTTTACCGAAGCCCCAAGTCATACCCTGAGCGAGTATTTCTAGGAGGTTTTCCTACCCTAAACAAGTATGTCATTTATCATTAATTTTTGAAAATGTCTTTATCTTTAAACGAGTTTCATTTCTGCAGTTTTTCGCATAATAATATGCCTATCAATTAAAAGGTTATCACAGATCAAAATTGTCAGCTTTTTTTTACACCCAGTATTTATAAATACAATCGTGTGTATTGTAGAAATAGGTTTCCGCTTTTATTCCAAAAATACCTAACCCATCCTTCTTTCCCGATAACATCACGAATGTAATATAATTCAAGATAATATCCCGTTAATGTTACATTGTAAAGTGCCCAGTCCAAAATATACCTATACAAATAGCCAGGCACCATGTTTAGTAATTTATATTCTGTGCATCTATAGACCGAAGTTTTCATGGCTTATTTAGGCAAATACAAAACTGATATTGTTTAGTTATTTGATAACATCACTCAGCCTAATTTGGTTCAAGATAAATCCCATCTGTGAGAATTGTTTAAGTGTCCATTTTTCAAATAATAATGATAACATACTTTTAAGCCGAGCGTCAACTCCATTCCAGCCAGGCACTATGTTTAGTATTATCATTCTGTGTATCTAATATAGACCGATAAGCACTTTAATTTCAATTGAAAAGGGCGCTAAACACAGCAAAGAGTTTATTAGTTACATGAACGTGAACCTAACCTCGATTTCAACAGAGATAACGATCATGAGTTATATTAGTGTTGGGTGGCAATCCTTTGGTATAGGCCTAGATTCAAAAATAATCCATGACACGCTTGATATAACCTTAATAAGCTCAGTCTGTAACAAGATATGAAGAGAACCAATTGGATGAACGCATCACCTTGGATATCAAGATCCCTTAACACCGCCCATTCAAGATTATGATGTTCATCCATCTTACATCTTTTCTGGTAAGCTTTGATTCATGGGTTTATCGAACAAAAAAAACATTATTCGTGTTGCACTCTGAAAATCAGAGTTATTTTTGCAATTTCTGAAATCCGTTCCACTGGCTGTCTGCCCTAACATCAAAGAAGACGAAAGACTTCATGCATGAAATACGTATCATAATGAGTTGGATCAAATGAAAGAAAATGATCTTATAGCTTTACAAATATGTGTAAATATGTGTAAATGTAAATATATAAACGCGCAAGTGTTTACACCAGAGACAGCTAGACGACCTTTCAAATATGCAGGATTTAGAGATGGTATCATTCTCAAGCCCTGGTAAAAAAAAAAAAAAAAAATCGTTTTCCAACGTATACTATATAATGAATCTCCACTGCCACACCGCCGATGATAGACAATCAATCATGTGACCTCATTATGACCAATCGTGTTGCAAGATTCTCTGTATGAAACTACTATTGAGTCTTACCTCTCGTTTAGCCCGGAAGTACTTCTTGTCGAAGGTGAGTTCTTCCGCCTGACCTGATCCATCCGTGTGGGAAATAAAAGAAAGAGTCTGGTCTTCTTCCTCCAACTCAGCCGTGGACCTTTGAGTATATAACGGTAGGAGAATGAAATGAAATAAGCCATTACAAATTAAAAAGTCATAACATTTAATAGAATGATAAGAGGAGATGATATGAAATATTATCTCTTATATATTTTTTTTTCAATGGCTATCATACTTATTATCTCGTATATAATTATGTTTTCAATTGTTGTCAGGTAGGACAAAAAACACAACATGTAATGTATGCAATTTGCATTCTGTCTATTAAAATACAATTATTCGTAAACAGGTGAATTAAATATTTTCAAGGCACTTTAAGGGGAGGCACTTTAACAAATATTTGTTTATTAAATTTAATTTGTTTTAATTTTTATAACGAAAATGGCCCATCCGAGAGATCTACATTATACAATATTATGTCCCTTATGTGTGTGTGTATGGGGGGGGGGGAGGGTCGATTGTTTCAACACCGATAAATGAAATTGCATTCATTTTTTATTTAAATCTCAGCAACAAACTTTATCCATAGCAACGGAGCTCCACCCGCGTTATTACATCACTATCAGATGCTTGAAGAGAAATGTAATACTCACAGAGGAATCTAATAATACACGCAGGAGGGGGGGGGTGTCTTCATTCGCGTGTGCATGTTTTTTTTCCCGGTATAAACAGACCTAAGGTGCGCTCGCCTCGCAGAGCTTTACAACATCAGAATATCAACATATTCACAAACGCGAGTGCACATAGGGCCAAGCACATTCCATTCCAGGTTTGAAAGTTAGCTGAGTTTTGACTACAATAACTGCCTTCTTATCGTGCCTGATAGCTGTGTTTTCTTATAAGCATGGCGAACTTTTCTTCTTTCACCGAAGACTATACCCCTTTCTTTGAAGATATCGAGTTCGAAAACACGACGATGCCTGCGACGGAGGTCGTAGGCGGTGGGCCGACAGCGACAAGGACTCCTGACTATCAGGGCCTTGTACTAGGGACGACAGTGGTCATTCTCATCGTCGTGGCCAACTCCGTGAGCCTGGTCGCATTCGCCATCGAGAAGCGTCTTCGAACGTACAACAACTACTTCATCATCAACCTCACCGTCGCTGACCTGTTTGTAGGTTTACTTCAGACGGTCGGCGTCGCGCATACTTTCATTGGGTATTTCCCCTTAAACAAAACCCTCTGCAGCATTTACATCGGTCTCCGGAATGCGACGTTTTCCATCTCCGTGGTCGGCGTGGTCATCATCTGCATCGATCGACATCGTGCGACCTACGACCCCATTAATCACTACATGTCACGCAGCAAGGCCAAAGCTATGAAGCTGAATGCGCTTACGTGGCTGATCGCCTTCGGGTTCTGGATGCCGTTCACTACCGGCTGGGACTTCGCCGTCGACCACGACACAGGCCGACATTGCGTGGGCGCATTCTCCAGGTCGACCATCGGAAACATCACCCAGAATATCCTCTCGTTCTTCGTCCCCCTCGTGCTCATCACCGTCCTCTACCTGCGGATCTTCCTTAAGATCAAGGAGACCGTCGGTGGTAAGAGTGTCAACAAGAAGTTTGAGAAGCCCAAAGGAAGTATTGGTGCAGAGGGTCTTTCTACCAGCAATGCAACGATCGTCAGTGAACTCACATCAGATGGGAAGATAGAAATGAAGAATCCTAGTCCAGAAGCAAAGGCAACTGGCACTGCTGGCAGTAAACTCGGAAAGGTAAGATAATTATTTTTATTTTTTTCCCACATTTCCTCAACAGGGATTTTATTGATTTCCAATTGAAACAAATTAACAAATATATATTTAAGGTAATTTACATTTATAACATAAATAAAATTGGCTTTTCAAGATACAAGTATTGTTGAACTGTTGAGTTGACAGAAAACAAACAAATCAATAATTCATTTCTGACACTCATGGAAAGAAAAACAAATACAGAAAAAATATCATTTTAAGTAAACGAATTCCTGAATTGAAACCATTTTCTTGTGAATTTATTATTTCTACAATTCGAATTTGCAATATACTTTTCGTTTTTTAAGTAATTTATAATCGAAACTCTAATATTATCAAAGTTGGGCAATTGTTCCTTTATTTTGTCGCACCACAATCAGTATACAATTCAATGCATAAGATAATTATGTTTCAAACTTTTAATATAATTGTTATCATCATTATTATTATTCATCTAAAAGTATAAAACATAAACAATATGTAGACAATAATAATAATGTGCTATGTATGATAAGCATATGGATGGGCACAGAGAGAAAGAGAGAGAGAGAGAGAGGGGGGGGAGAGAAAGCGTGCGTTGTGAGCAAAGTACTTCAACAGAAAATAAAGAGAGCGTTAAATGTTGAAAGGTTTGAGAGGTTTAAAGTTGTTCTTCTTTTCTTAAACGGCCCTATATGGGGCATGGAAGAAATGCAGATAAATGGTACAAAGATATTTTACAACTAAGACAGTTTTTTTTTAAAAGGTACCTTACAAAAGAAAGGTTCTTTGGCAGCAAACAACACACAATAAATTGAAGGCTAGATTTCAACAACCCAAAAAAACAATTAAAGTAAGAATATAAACTCTATATCAGACATTGTCTGTCCTAACAGCACGTATACCATACCCAACAAAAATACAACCAACAAAATATGACATATGATATATATAAAATACATTACATGAAGATACAAAGGATCTAATGCATACTTTGAGAAAAAGAACTATTTCATCCAAACTTCGACCGAATTCCTGTTTGAAAATCATTTAATTGAAACATAATCGATTTTTATAAGTTTCAAAATGAAGGGATAGACATGAGGGGGCAGAAATAAAAAATTCAGTTTTTTTGTTGCATAAAGCAAAATGCATTATGATATAATGTCTCTATTTACTTCTATAGACCTTTAGAACGTAGGGAGAAATGGACATACAGAGACGAACAGAGAGAGAAAATAGAGGGCATAGTGAATGTTTTGAGAAAAAGAACTATTTTATTCCAAAATCGACCGAATTCCTGTTTGGAAATCATGTAATTGAAACATTATCGATTCCTATACGTTTCAAAAAGAGGGGGCAGAAATATAAAATTCAGCTTTTTTGTTGCATAGAGCATGTTGCATAATGATATAATGTCCCTATTTACTTCTATAGACCTTTAGAATGTGAGAAATATACAGAGACGAAAAGTGAGAGAACATAGAGAGAGAGAGAGAGAGAGAGAGAGTGCCTCTGTGCTTCAAAATTAAACTTAAAGGACAGACAAATGTCGAGAAATAGAGAGAGTGAGTGAGACAGAGAGAGAGACAGAGAGAGAGAGAGAGAGAGAGAGACAGAGAAAGAGAGAGGGAATAATAATGATATTCAGCTTCATGTGTGGAACATTACATCTTAATATAACCTCTCGATGCACTTCTAATGAGCTTTGAAAATAATAAAGTAATATTATACAAAGACAGAAACAAAGAGGAAAGAGAGAGTGCCTCTGCACTTTAAAACTAAGAATTAAAGGATGTAATCATGTATAGTAAGCATCTTGCCTAGAACATATCGCAATACAACATCCCGATGCACTTTTAAAGAGAAAATGGGCACAGAGAGGGGGGAATATAGAGTAAGCACTAGCAAAGAATTGGAGTTTACCACCCGTGCAAAATTAAGGTGAATTTAACATCTTAAAGGCAATCCTCCGTAGGTACGTATACAGATAACTATATATATAACATATCAAATTCCAACATCGAAACTCGCTTTATTGAATTTTACCTGCTTAATTCCCTCATTATCACCTGGTTGACACGTTAATTGATTCGTCGTTCGAATTCTGAGGTGTCCTCACTGAAGCGTATTGTAAATAACATTGAATCCCGGTGAGTAGAAATATTTTTTGATATAATAACCAACGCTTTCTCGATACAATGTCAAGATAAGTTTCTCTATAATTTACTCCATGTATTTTCAACTCAAAGGTAATGCACGGCGTTGTTAAAATACAACGATGTGTACGTTCAAAGGTTCATTTCATTTGTACCCATTATTTGTTTTATATTTATATAATATTTTTCTCCATTTTGAATATTAATACAAATTATTTAAAGGAAAGAAACAGAATGTACACAATTATTCAGAACTCCATTCGACACACGTCTTACATACTCTATGCATTGGTAATAAAAGAAAGTAAAAGTTATTTCCATCATGACAAAACTAAAGAAATTCAATAAACCTGGAACTTTTAATTTACAATAAAAATCAAGACAAGTAGAAATGGGGGCGAAGTCTACTAAGAAGCAAAGACTGTATTTTATAAACCCGTTTATGGAAAATGTTTAGTTACAGTCACTCTAGAAGAATAAATAATACACCTCTAGATTACACATTACACATGTATTGCGAGAAGAAAAAAAAACATAAAACCGTGCTTACTTTACTACTACTTTAGTATTTTTTTTAATCTAAGAAAAAAATCTTTAAAAATGAAAAATTAAAGAAAAGAATGGATAGGAACAGTAACTCGGAAAAGTTAAACAATATAATAATAATAAATATAACTTTTATAGTGCCAAATCCACTAGGCCTATGTGGAGTGCTCAAGGCGCATATAGAAATAATCAAGGACTAAACAAAAGCATTTTTACATGATTTTAAAGGAATCAATGGTTATACACTCATATTTTTTAAAAGACATTTGTGGTGTATAGTTTACGCTCCAAATGTAATGATAAACGACATATTTTTATTTTTTCTGTCCGACATTATTAAAAGAAAACAAATATTTCAGCAAACAGATGCACAAGTACAGACACAACTAAACTAAATTAAGGTTATTCTATAAATTAATTTTATTTGATAGAAATATATTTATGCTTAATTTCATTAGCCTGCATTGGGGGGGGGGGTAAGTTCTTAAATAGACACTGCTTAGCAGAGTTAATCGAGTTAATCCATCAAATCAATAATTTTGATTCGAATAATCATATTTTCTAATCATGTCTCGAGTGCCTCTTCGTACATCTCTAGCCCAACTTGGTGAGAGG